ACTATGTGACTCCCAGCACTATGTGGCTCCCAGCACTATGTTGCTCCCAGCACTATGTGGCTCCCAGCACTATGTGGCTCCCAGCACTATGTGGCTCCCAGCACTATGTGGCTCCCAGCACTATGTGGCTCCCAGCACTATGTGGCTCCCAGCACTATGTTGCTCCCAGCACTATGTGGCTCCCAGCACTATGAGGCTCCCAGCACTATGTGGCTCCCAGCACTATGTGGCTCCCAGCACTATGTGGCTACCAGCACTATGTGGCTCCCAGCACTAAGTGGCTCCCAGCCCCTATGTGGCTCCCAGCACTATGTTGCTCCCAGCACTATGAGGCTCCCAGCACTATGTGGCTCCCAGCACTATGAGGCTCCCAGCACTATGTGGCTCCCAGCCCCTATGTCTCTCCCAGCATTATGTGGCTCCCAGCCCCCATGTGGCTCCCAGCACTATGTGGCTCCCAGCACTATGAGGCTCCCAGCTCTATGTTGCTCCCAGCACTATGAGGCTCCCAGCACTATGTTGCTCCCAGCACTATGTTGCTCCCAGCACTATGTGGCTCCCAGCACTATGTTGCTCCCAGCACTATGTGGCTCCCCGCACTATGTGGCGCCCAGCACTATGTGGCTCCCAGCACTATGTGGCTCCCAGCACTATGAGGCTCCCAGCACTATGTGGCTCCCAGCACTATGTGGCTCCCAGCCCCTATGTGGCTCCCAGCACTATGTGGCTCCCAGCACTAAGTGGCTCCCAGCACTATGTGGCTCCCAGCACTATGTGGCTCCCAGCCCCTATGTGGCTCCCAGCACTATGTGGCTCCCAGCACTATGTGGCTCCCAGCCCCTATGTGGCTCCCAGCACTATGTTACTCCCAGCACTATGTTGCTCCCAGCACTATGTGGCTCCCAGCACTATGTGGCTCCCAGCACTATGTGGCTCCCAGCACTATGTGGCTCCCAGCCCCTATGTGGCTCCCAGCACTATGTGGCTCCCAGCCCCTATGTGGCTCCCAGCACTATGTGGCTCCCAGCACTATGTGGCTCCCAGCACTATGTGGCTCCTAGCACTATGTGGCTCCCAGCACTATGTGGCTCCCAGCACTATGTGGCTCCCAGCCCCTATGTGGCTCCCAGCACTATGTGGCTCCCAGCACTATGTGGCTCCCAGCACTATGTGGCTCCAAGCACTATGTGGCTCCCAGCACTATGTGGCTCCCAGCACTATGTGGCTCCCAGCACTATGTTGCTCCCAGCACTATGTGGCTCCCAGCACTAAGTGGCTCCCAGCACTATGTGGCTCCCAGCACTATGTGGCTCCCAGCCCCTATGTGGCTCCCAGCACTATGTGGCTCCCAGCCCCTATGTGGCTCCCAGCACTATGTGGCTCCCAGCACTATGTGGCTCCCAGCACTATGTGGCTCCCAGCACTATGTGGCTCCCAGCACTATGTGGCTCCCAGCCCCTATGTGGCTCCCAGCACTATGTGGCTCCCAGCACTATGTGGCTCCCAGCACTATGTGGCTCCAAGCACTATGTGGCTCCCAGCACTATGTGGTTCCCAGCACTATGTGGCTCCCAGCACTATGTGGCTCCCAGCACTATGTTGCTCCAGGCACTATGTGGCTCCCAGCACTAAGTGGCTCCCAGCACTATGTGGCTCCCAGCACTATGTGGCTCCCAGCACTATGTGGCTCCCAGCCCCTATGTGGCTCCCAGCACTATGTGGCTCTCAGCACTAAGTGGCTCCCAGCACTATGTGGCTCCCAGCCCCTATGAGGCTCTTAGCACTAAGTGGCTCCCAGCACTATGTGGCTCCCAGCACTATGTGGCTCCCAGCCCCTATGCGGCTCCCAGCACCATGAGGCTCCCAGCACTATGTGGCTCCCAGCACTATGTGGCTCCCAGCACTATGTGGCTCCCAGCACTATGAGGCTCCCAGCACTATGTGGCTCCCAGCACTATGTGGCTCCCAGCACCATGAGGCTCCCAGCACTATGTGGCTCCCAGCACTATGTGGCTCCCAGCACTATGTGGCTCCCAGCACTATGAGGCTCCCAGCACTATGTTGCTCCCAGCACTATGTGGCTCCCAGCACTATGTGGCTCCCAGCACTATGTGGCTCCCAGTACTATGTGGCTCCCAACCCCTATGTGGCTCCCAGCACTATGTGGCTCCCAGCACTATGTGGCTCCCAGCACTATGTGGCTCCAACACTATGTTGCTCCCAGCACTATGTGGCTCCCAGCACTATGTGGCTCCCAGCACTATGTGGCTCCCAGCACTATGTGGCTCCCAGCCCCTATGTGGCTCCCAGCACTATGTGGCTCCCAGCGCTATGTGGCTCCCAGCACTATGTTGCTCCCAGCACTATGTGGCTCCCAGCACAATGTGGCTCCCAGCACTATGTGGCTTCCAGCACTATGTGACTCCCAGCACTATGTGGCTCCCAGCCCCTATGTGGCTCCCAGCCCCTATGTGGCTCCCAGCCCCTATGTGGCTCCCAGCACTATGTAACCCCCAGCACTATGAGGCTCCCAGCACTATGTGGCTCCCAGCACTATGTGGCTCCCAGCCCCTATGTGGCTCCCAGCACTATGTGGCTCCCAGCCCCTATGTGGCTCCCAGCACTATGTGGCTCCCAGCACTATGTGGCTCCCAGCCCCTATGTGGCTCCCAGCACTATGTGGCTCCCAGCCCCTATGTGGCTCCCAGCACTATGTGGCTCCCAGCACTATGTGGCTCCCAGCACTATGTGGCTTCCAGCACTACGTGACTCCCAGCACTATGAGGCTCCCAGCACTATGTGGCTCCCAGCACTATGAGGCTCCCAGCACTATGTGGCTCCCAGCCCCTATGTGGCTCCCAGCACTATGTAACCCCCAGCACTATGAGGCTCCCAGCACTATGTGGCTTCCAGCACTATGAGGCTCCCAGCACTATGTGGCTCCCAGCACTAAGTGGCTCCCAGCCCCTATGTGGCTCCCAGAACTATGTGGCTCCCAGCACTAAGTGGCTCCCAGCACTATGTGGTTCCCAGCCCCTATGAGGCTCCCAGCACTAAGTGGCTCCCAGCACTATGTGGCTCCCAGCACTATGAGGCTCCCAACACTATGTGGCTCCCAGCACTATGTGGCTCCCAGCCCCTATGTGGCTCCCAGCCCCTATGTGGCTCCCAGCACTATGTGGCTCCCAGCACTATGAGGCTCCCAGCACTATGTGGCTCCCAGCCCCTATGTGGCTCCCAGCCCCTATGTGGCTCCCAGCACTATGTGGCTCCCAGCACTATGTGGCTCCCAGCACTACGTGGCTCCCAGCATTATGTGGCTCCCAGCCCCTATGTGGCGCCCAGCACTATGTGGCTCCCAGCCCCTTTGTGGCTCCCAGCACTATGTGGCTCCCAGCACTACGTGGCTCCCAGCACTATGTGGCTCCCAGCCCCTATGTGGCTCCCAGCACTATGTGGCTCCCAGCACTATGTGGCTCCCAGCACTATGTGGCTCCCAGCACTATGTGGCGCCCAGCACTATGTGGCTCCCAGCCCCTATGTGGCTCCCAGCACTATGTGAATGTCCCATACTGACTGACTTTCGCCCTCCTGGGCTAAGGTATGCTGAACTCTGTAGTTACTATATGAGTACTGGAACACTTGATGATATATTGGACTTGTACCCAAGATTGACCATGTAATGTATCAATCATACAATGTATGTATGTGATGTAACTATATAACCTGAGCTTGTAAAAGCACCTTCATCACCTTCAGTGATTAAGTGCTTAATTGCACACTAGTTTCTTTATCAGCTACCTCACCCTGTCAGGGTAAATGAGACAAATGTATGTGAATGCATGTATGTGTGTATATATGTATGTGTATGTGTGTGTGTGTATGTATATGTATGGGTATAAAGCAAATATGGAAGCTGATCAGAATTACATTTCACCTTTGTGAATGTACATTAATGACTCTATGTAAAAGACACATCTAATACTTTATGTAGGGCGTACGTAAATCTGTGTATCTTTGTATTTACGTATGTAGGTTAGCTTAGCATTTTAAAAGCACCGAATCACCTTCTGTGGTTGAGTGTTCAATAAACCCTTGAACTGTATGTTTAACACTTCTCTAACCCTGTCCATGGAGGACAGAAGAAAATGTATATATGCTGGTTAGCATTGTAAATGTGTGGCCACGTCTGTGGTAGAAAATAATAAAAAAAAAAAAAAAAAAAAAAAAAAACTATGTGGCTCCCAGCACTATGTGGCTCCCAGCCCTATGTGGCTCCCAGCACTATGTGGCTCCCAGCACAATGAGGCTCCCTGCACTATGAGGCTCCCAGCACTATGTGGCTCCCAGCACTATGTGGCTCCCAGCACTATGTGGCTCCCAGCCCTATGTGGCTCCCAGCACTATGTGGCTCCCAGCACTATGAGGCTCCCAGCACTATGAGGCTCCCAGCACTATGTGGCTCCCAGCACTATGTGGCTCCCAGCACTATGTGGCTCCCAGCCCCTATGTGGCTCCCAGCACTATGTGGCTCCCAGTACTACGTGGCTCCCAGCACTATGTGGCTCCCAGCCCCTATGTGGCTCCCAGCACTATGTGGCTCCCAGCACTATGTGGCTCCCAGCACTATGTGGCTCCCAGCACTATGTGGCTCCCAGCACTATGTGGCGCCCAGCACTATGTGGCTCCCAGCCCCTATGTGGCTCCCAGCACTATGTGGCTCCCAGCACTATGTGGCTCCCAGCCCTATGTGGCTCCCAGCACTATGAGGCTCCCAGCACTTTGAGGCTCCCAGCACTATGAGGCTCCCAGCACTATGTGGCTCCCAGCACTATGAGGCTCCCAGCACTATGTGACTCCCAGCACTATGTGGCTCCCAGCACTATGTGGCTCCCATCCCCTATGTGGCTCCCAGCCATATGTGGCTCCTAGCACTATGAAACTCCCAGCTTTATAAGGCTCCTAGCACTATGTGGCTCCCAGCACTATGTGGCTTTCAGCCCCAATGTGGCCCCTAGCCCCAATGTGGCCCCCAACACCAATGTGGCTCCCAGCCCCAATGTGGCTCCAAGCCCCAATGTGGGCCCCAGCCCCAATGTGGCTCCCAGCCCCAATGTGGCTCTCAGCTCCAATGTGGCTCCCAGCCCCAATGTGGCTCCCAGCCCCAATGTGACTCCCAGCCCCAATGTGGCCCCCAGCCCCAATGTGGCCCCCAAACCCAATGTGGCTCTCAGCCCCAATGTGGTTCCCAGCCTTAATGTGGCCCCCAGTCCCAATGTGGCGCCCAGCCCGAATGTGGCCCCCAGCCCAAATGTGGCCCCCAGCCCCAATGTGGCCCCCAGCACCAATGTGGCTCTCAGCCCCAATGTGGCTCCCAGCTACAATGTGGTCCCAGCCCCAATGTGGCCCCCAATCCCAATGTGGTTCCCAGCCCCAATGTGGCTCCCAGCCCCAATGTGGCTCTCAACCTCAATGTGGCTCCCAGCCCAAATGTGGCTCCCAGCCCGAATGTTGCTCCCAGCCCCAAAGTGGCCCCAGCCCCAATGTGGCCCCCAGTCCCAATGTGGCCCCCAGCCCAAATGTGGACCCCAGCCCCAATATGGCTCTCAGCCCCAATGTGGCCCCAGTCCCAATGTGGCCCCCAGCCCAAATGTGGCCTCCAGCCCCAATGTGGCTCTCAGCCCCAATGTCGCTCCCAGCCCCAATGTGGCCCCCAACCCCAATGTGGCTCCCAAACCCAATGTGGCTCCCAGCCCCAATGTGGCCTCCAACTCCAATGTGGCTCCCAGCCCCAATGTGGCTCTCAGCCCCAATGTGGCTCCCAGCCAGAATGAGGCCCCCAGCCCCAATGTGGCTCCCAGCCTAAATGTGGCCCCCAGCCCCAATGTGGCTCTCAGCCCCAATGTGGCTCCCAGCCCCAATGAGGCCCCCAGCCCCAATGTGGCTCCTAGCCCCAATGTGACTCCCAGCCACAATGTGGCTCCCAGCTCCAATGTGGCCCCCAGCCCCAATGTGGCTCTCAGTCCCAATGTGGCTATCAGCCTCAATGTGGCTCCCAGCCCCAATGTGGTCCCCAGCACCAATATGGCTCCCAGCTCCAATGTGGCTATCAGCCCCAATGTGGTCCCCAGCCCCAATGTGGCCCCCAGCCCCAATGTGGCCCCCAGCCCCAATGTGGCCCCCAGCTACAATGTGGCCCCCAGCTCAAATGTGGCCCCCAACCCCAATGTGGCCCCCAGCCCCAATGCGGCCCCCAGCCACAATGTGGCTCCCAGCCCCAATGAGGCTCTCAGCCCCAATGTTACCCCAGCCCTAATATGGTCCCCAGCCCCAATGTGGCCCCCAGCTTCAATGTGGTCCCCACCCCCAATGTGTCCCCCAGCCCTAATATGGATCTTAGCCCCAATGTGACTCCCAGCCCCAATGTGGCTCCCAGGCCCAATGTGGCCCCCAGCCCCAATGTGGCCCCCAGCCCCAATGTGGCTCCCAGCCCCAATGTGGCTCCCAGCCCCAATGTGGCTCCCAGCCCTAATGTGGCTCCCAGCCCCAATGTGGCCCCCAGCCCCAATGTGGCACTTAGCCTCAATGTGGCTCCCAGCTCAAATGTGGCCCCCAGCCCCAATGTGACTCCCAGCCCCAATGTGGCCCCTAGTCCCAATGTGGCCCCCAGTCCCAATGTGGCCCCCAGCCCAAATGTGGCCCCCAGCCCCAATGTGGCTCTCAGCCCCAACGTGGCCCCCAGCCCCAATGTGGCCCCTAGTCCCAATGTGGCTCCCAGCCCCAATGTGGCTCCCAGACCCAATGTGGCTCCCAGCCCATTGTGGCCTCCAACTCCAATGTGGCTCCTAGCCCCAATGTGGCTCTCAGCCCCAATGTGGCTCCCAGCCCCCAATGAGGCCCCCAGCCCCAATGTGACTCCCAGCCACAATGTCGCTCCCAACACCAATGTGGCCCCCAGCCCCAATGTGGCTCTCAGTCCCAATGTGGCTATCAGCCTCAATGTGGCTCCCAGCCCCAATGTGGTCCCCAGCACCAATATGGCTCCCAGCTCCAATGTGGCTATCAGCCCCAATGTAGCCCCCAGCCCCAATGTGGCCCCCAGCCCCAATGTGGCCCCCAGCCCCAATATGGTCCCCAGCTACAATGTGGCCCCAGCTCAAATGTGGCCCCCAACCCCAATGTGGCCCCCAGCCCCAATGTGGCCCCCAACCCCAATGTGGCCCCCAGCCACAATGTGGCTCCCAGCCACAATGTGGCTCCCAGCCCCAATGTGGCTCGCAGCCCCAATGAGGCTCTCAGCCCCAATGTGGCCCCAGCCCCAATGTGGCCCCAAGCTTCAATGTGGTCCCCAGCCCTAATATGGCTCTTAGCCCCAATGTGGCCCCAAGCTTCAATGTGGTCCCCAGCCCAAATGTGGCCCCCAACCCCAATGTGGCTCCCAGCCCGAATGTGGCTCTCAGCTCCAATGTGGTCCCCAACACCAATGTGGCTCCCAGCCCCAATGTGGCTCCCAGCCCCAATGTGACTTTCAGCCCCAATGTGGCCCCTGTCCCAATGTGGCCCCCAGCCCAAATGTGGCCCCCAGCCCCAATGTGGCTCTCAGCCCCAACGTGGCCCCCAGCACCAATGTGGCCCCTAGTCCCAATATGGCCCCCAGCCCAAATGTGGCCCCCAGCCCCAATGTGGCTCTCAGCCCCAATGTGGCTCCATGCCCCAATGTGGCCCCCAGCCCCAATGTGGCTCCCAGACCCAATGTGGCTCCCAGCCCCAATGTGGCCTCCAACTCCAATGTGGCCCCCAGCCCCAATATGGCTCTCAGCCCCAATGTGGCTCCCAGCCCCAATGAGGGCCCCAGCCCCAATGTGACTCCCAGCCACAATGTGGCCCCCAGCCCCAATGTGGCTCTCAGTCCCAATGTGGCTACCAGCCTCAATGTGGCTCCCAGCCCCAATGTGACTCCCAGCCCCAATGTGGCTCTCAGTCCCAATGTGGCTATCAGCCTCAATGTGGCTCCCAGCCCCAATGTGGTCCCCAGTACCAATATGGCTCCCAGCTCCAATGCGACTCCCAGCCACAATATGGCTCCCAGCTCCAATGTGGCCCACAGCCCCAATGTGGCTCTCAGTCCCAATGTGGCTATCAGCAATGTGGCCCCCAGCCCCAATGTGGCCCCCAGCCCCAATATGGCCCCCAGCCCCAATGTGGCTCCCAGCCACAATGTGGCCCCCAGCCACAATGTGGCTCCCAGCCCCAATGAGGCTCTCAGCCCCAATGTTACCACCAGCCCTAATGTGGTCCCCAGCCCCAATGTGGCCCCCAGCCCCAATGTGGTCCCCAGCCCCAATGTGGCCCCAAGCCCTAATATGGCTCTCAGCCCCAATGTGGCTCCCAGCCCCAATGAGGCCCCCAGCCCCAATGTGACTCCCAGCCACAATGTGGCTCCCAGCCCCAATGTGCCCCCAGCCCCAATGTGCCCCTTAGCCCCAATGTGGCCCCCAGCCCCAATGTGGCCCCCAGCCCCAATGTGGCTCTCAGCCCAAATGTGACCTGCAGCCCCAATGTTGCTCCAAGCCCCAATGTGGCTCCCAGCCCCAATGTGGTCCCCAGCCCCAATGTGGCCCCCAGTCCCAATGTTGCTCCCAGCCCCAATGTGGCTCCCAGCCCCAATGTTGCTCCCAGCCCCAATGTGGCTCTCAGTCCCAATGTGGCTATCAGCAATGTGGCCCCCAGCCCCAATGTGGCCCCCAGCCCCAATATGGCCCCCAGCCCCAATGTGGCTCCCAGCCACAATGTGGCCCCCAGCCACAATGTGGCTCCCAGCCCCAATGAGGCTCTCAGCCCCAATGTTACCACCAGCCCTAATGTGGTCCCCAGCCCCAATGTGGCCCCCAGCCCCAATGTGGTCCCCAGCCCCAATGTGGCCCCAAGCCCTAATATGGCTCTCAGCCCCAATGTGGCTCCCAGCCCCAATGAGGCCCCCAGCCCCAATGTGACTCCCAGCCACAATGTGGCTCCCAGCCCCAATGTGCCCCCAGCCCCAATGTGCCCCTTAGCCCCAATGTGGCCCCCAGCCCCAATGTGGCCCCCAGCCCCAATGTGGCTCTCAGCCCAAATGTGACCTGCAGCCCCAATGTTGCTCCAAGCCCCAATGTGGCTCCCAGCCCCAATGTGGTCCCCAGCCCCAATGTGGCCCCCAGTCCCAATGTTGCTCCCAGCCCCAATGTGGCTCCCAGCCCCAATGTTGCTCCCAGCCCCAATGTGGCTCCCAGCCCCAATGTGGCCCCCAGCCCCAATGTGGCTCCCAGCCCCAATGTGGCTCTCAGCCCAAATGTGACCTGCAGCCCTAATGTTGCTCCCAGCCCCAATGTGGCTCCCAGCCCCAATGTGGCTCTCAGCCCCAATGTTGCTCCCAGCCCCAATGTGGCTCCCAGCCCCAATGTGGCCCCCAGCCCCAATGTGGCCCCCAGCCCCAATGTGGCTCTCAGCCCAAATGTGACCTGCAGCCCCAATGTTGCTCCCAGCCCCAATGTGGCTCCCAGCCCCAATGTGGTCCCTAGCCCCAATGTGGCCCCCAGTCCCAATGTTGCTCCCAGCCCCAATGTGGCCCCCAGCCCCAATGTGGCTCCCAGCCCCAATGTGGCTCTCAGCCCCAATGTGGCTCTCAGTGCCACTGTGGCTCTCAGCCCCAATGTTGCTCCCAGCCCCAATGTGGCTCCCAGCCCCAATGTGGCCCCCAGCCCCAATGAGGCCCCCAGCCCCAATGTAGCTCTCAGCCCCAATGTGGCTCCCAGCCCCAATGTAGCCCCCAGCCTCAATTTGGCTCCCAGCCCCAATGTGGCCCACAGCCCCAATGTGGCCCACAGCTCCAATGTGGCCCCCAGCCCCAATGTGGCTCCCAGCCACATTGGGGCTGGGAGCGGCTAGTGATGTGTCCTGGGGGCTGGGAGCGGCTAGGGATGTGTCCTGGGGGCTGGGAGCGGCTAGGGATGTGTCCTGGGGGCTGGGACCTGCTAGGGATGTGTCCTGGGGGCTGGGACCTGCTAGGGATGTGTCCTGGGGGCTGGGAGCGGCTTGGGATGTGTCCTGGGGTCTGGGAGCGGCTAGGGATGTGTCCTGAGGGCTGGGACCTGCTAGGGATGTGTCCTGGAGGCTGGGTCCTGCTAGGAATGTGTCCTGGGGGCTGGGAGCGGCTAGGGATGTGTCCTGAGGGCTGGGACCTGCTAGGGATGTGTCCTGGGGGCTGGGACCTGCTAAGGATGTGTCCTGGGGGCTGGGAGCGGCCAGGGATGTGTCCTGGGGGCTGGGACCTACTAGGGATGTGTCCTGGGGGCTGGGAGCGGCCAGGGATGTGTCCTGGGGGCTGGGAGCGGCCAGGGATGTGTCCTGGGGGCTGGGAGCGGTTAGGGATGTGTTCTGGGGGCTGGGAGCGGCCAGGGATGTGTCCTGGGGGCTGGGACCTGCTAAGGATGTGTCCTGGGGGCTGGGAGCGGCCAGGGATGTGTCCTGGGGGCTGGGAGCGGCCAGGGATGTGTCCTGGGGGCTGGGAGCGGTTAGGGATGTGTCCTGGGGGCTGGGAGCGGCCAGGGATGTGTCCTGGGGGCTGAGAACTGCTAAGGATGTGTCCTGGGGGCTGGGAGCGGCCAGAGATGTGTCCTGGGGGCTGGGAGCGGCCAGAGATGTGTCCTGGGGGCTGGGACCTGCCAGGGATGTGTCCTGAGGGCTGGGAGCGGCCAGGGATGTGTCCTGGGGGCTGGGAGCGGCCAGGGATGTGTCCTGGGGGCTGGGAGCGGCCAGGGATGTGTCCTGGGGGCTGGGAGCGGCCAGGGATGTGTCCTGGGGGCTGGGAGCGGCCAGGGATGTGTCCTGGGGGCTGGGACCTCATCACATGCAGGATGTGTTGGACTGGTTGGACGTGACTGAGAGATGAGCCGGACTTGGAGCTTTCCTGCATTCCTGAAGGTGTTGGAGGCGGGTACATGGTTAGTGACCTGCGGGTACATGGTTAGTGACCTGCGGGTACATGGTAAGTGACCTAGCTGCGGGTACATGGTTAGTGACCTGCGGGTACATGGTGACCTGCGGGTACATGGTTAGTAACCTGCGGGTACATGGTTAGTGACCTGCGGGTACATGGTGACCTGCGGGTACATGGTGACCTGCGGGTACATGGTTAGTGACCTGCGGGTACATGGTGACCTGCGGGTACATGGTTAGTGACCTGTGACCTGCAGGTACATGGTGACCTGCGGGTACATGGTTAGTGACCTGCGGGTACATGGTGACCTGCGGGTACATGGTTAGTGTCCTGCGGGTACATGGTGACCTGCGGGTACATGGTGACCTGCGGGTACATGGTTAGTGACCTGCGGGTACATGGTGACCTGCGGGTACATCGTTAGTGTCCTGCGGGTACATGGTGACCTGCGGGTACATGGTTAGTGACCTGCGGGTACATGGTGACCTGCGGGTACATGGTTAGTGACCTGCGGGTACATGGTGACCTGCGGGTACATGGTGACCTGCGGGTACATGGTTAGTGACCTGCGGGTACATGGTGACCTGCGGGTACATGGTGACCTGCGGGTACATGGTGACCTGCGGGTACATGGTTAGTGACCTGCGGGTACATGGTTAGTGACCTGCGGGTACATGGTGACCTGCGGGTACATGGTGACCTGCGGGTACATGGTTAGTGACCTGCGGGTACATGGTTAGTGACCTGCGGGTACATGGTTAGTGACCTGCGGGTACATGGTGACCTGCGGGTACATGGTTAGTGGCCTGCGGGTACATGGTGACCTGCGGGTACATCGTGACCTGCGGGTATATGGTTAGTGTCCTGCGGGTACATGGTTAGTGACCTGCGGGTACATGGTGATCTGCGGGTATATGGTGACCTGCGGGTATATGGTGACCTGCGGGTACATGGTTAGTGACCTGCGGGTACATGGTTAGTGACCTGCGGGTACATGGTGACCTGCGGGTACATGGTTAGTGTCCTGTGGGTACATGGTGACCTGCGGGTATATGGTGACCTGCGGGTACATGGTGACCTGCGGGTACATGGTGACCTGCGGGTATATGGTTAGTGACCTGCGGGTACATTGTGACCTGCGGGTACATGGTTAGTGACCTGCGGGTATATGGTTAGTGACCTGCGGGTACATGGTGACCTGCGGGTACATGGTGACCTGCGGGTACATGGTTAGTGACCTGCGGGTATATGGTTAGTGACCTGCGGGTACATGGTGACCTGCGGGTACATGGTTAGTGACCTGCGGGTACATGGTGACCTGCGGGTACATGGTTAGTGACCTGCGGGTACATGGTTAGTGACCTGCGGGTACATGGTTAGTGTCCTGCGGGTACATGGTTAGTGTCCTGCGGGTACATGGTTAGTGTCCTGCGGGTACATGGTGACCTGCGGGTACATGGTTAGTGTCCTGCGGGTACATGGTTAGTGTCCTGCGGGTACATGGTGACCTGCGGGTACATGGTGACCTGCGGGTACATGGTTAGTGTCCTGCCTGCGGGTACATGGTTAGTGTCCTGCGGGTACATGGTGACCTGCGGGTACATGGTTAGTGACCTGCGGGTACATGGTGACCTGCGGGTACATGGTTAGTGACCTGCGGGTACATGGTTGCGGGTACATGTGTGCGGGTACATGGTTAGTGACCTGCTGCGGGTACATGGTTAGTGACCTGCGGGTACATGGTTAGTGACCTGCGGGTACATGGTTAGTGTCCTGCGGGTACATGGTTAGTGACCTGCGGGTACATGGTGCGGGTACATGGTGACCTGCGGGTACATGGTTAGTGACCTGCGGGTACATGGTGACCTGCGGGTACATGGGGTACATGGTTAGTGACCTGCGGGTACATGGTTACCTGCGGGTACATGGTTAGTACATGGTTAGTGACCTGCGGGTACCTGCGGGTACATGGTGACCTGCGGGTACATGGTGACCTGCGGGTACATGGTTAGTGTCCTGCGGGTACATGGTGACCTGCGGGTACATGGTTAGTGACCTGCGGGTACATGGTGACCTGCGGGTACATGGTTAGTGTCCTGCGGGTACATGGTTAGTGACCTGCGGGTACATGGTTAGTGACCTGCGGGTACATGGTTAGTGACCTGCGGGTACATGGTTAGTGACCTGCGGGTACATGGTTAGTGACCTGCGGGTACATGGTTAGTGACCTGCGGGTACATGGTGACCTGGGTACATGGTTAGTGACCTGCGGGTACATGGTGTGACCTGCGGGTACATGGTGACCTGCGGGTACATGGTGACCTGCGGGTACATGGTTAGTGACCTGCGGGTACATGGTGACCTGCGGGTACATGGTTAGTGACCTGCGGGTACATGGTGACCTGCGGGTACATGGTTAGTGACCTGCGGGTACATGGTGACCTGCGGGTACATGGTTAGTGACCTGCGGGTACATGGTTAGTGACCTGCGGGTATATGGTTAGTGACCTGCGGGTACATGGTTAGTGACCTGCGGGTACATGGTGACCTGCGGGTACATTGTTAGTGACCTGCGGGTACATGGTTAGTGACCTGCGGGTACATGGTGACCTGCGGGTACATGGTGACCTGCGGGTACATGGTTAGTGACCTGCGGGTACATGGTGACCTGCGGGTACATGGTTAGTGACCTGCGGGTACATGGTGACCTGCGGGTACATGGTGACCTGCGGGTATATGGTTAGTGTCCTGCGGGTACATGGTTAGTGACCTGCGGGTACATGGTGACCTGCGGGTAAATGGTGACCTGCGGGTATATGGTGACTTGCGGGTACATGGTTAGTGACCTGCGGGTACATGGTGACCTGCGGGTATATGGTTAGTGTCCTGCGGGTACATGGTGACCTGCGGGTACATGGTGACCTGCGGGTATATGGTTAGTGACCTGCGGGTACATGGTGACCTGCGGGTATATGGTGTCCTGCGGGTACATGGTGACCTGCGGGTACATGGTGACCTGCGGGTATATGGTTAGTGACCTGCGGGTACATGGTGACCTGCGGGTACATGGTTAGTGACCTGCGGGTACATGGTTAGTGACCTGCGGGTACATGGTGACCTGCGGGTACATGGTTAGTGACCTGCGGGTACATGGTGACCTGCGGGTACATGGTTAGTGACCTGCGGGTACATGGTGACACCCACCAGTGGTGGAGACACCCACCAGTGGTGGAGACACCCACCAGTGGTGGAGACACCCACCACTGGTGGGGTATTATGTCAAAGGCTCTCAGACAGTCCGAGAAAATGCAGTTATTTATCCTACCACAGACGTGGCCAGACATTAACAATGCTAACCAGCATATATACATTTTCTTCTGTCCTCCATGGACAGTGTTAGAGATGTGTTAAACATATAGTTCAAGGGTTTTTGAACACTCAACCACAGAAGGTGCTTCGGTGCTTTTAAAATGCTAAGCTAACCTACATACGTAAATACATAGATACACAGATTTACGTATGCCCTACATAAAGTGTTCGATGTGTCTTTTACATAGTGTCATTAATGTACATTTACAAAGGTGAAATGTAATTCTGATAAGCTTCCACATATACTGTATACACATACATACATATTCATACACACACATATATATACATATTTATACACACACACATACATACACATACATTTATGTCTCTCCTACTCTGATAGGGTGAGATAGCTGATAGAGAAACTAGTGTGTTATTAAGCACTTAACCACTGGAGGTGATTAAGGTGCTGTTACAAGCTCAGGTTATATAGTTACATCACATACATACATTGTATAATTGATACATTACATGGTCAATCTTGGGCACAAGTCCAATATATCATCAAGTGTTCCAGTACTCATATAGTAGTTACAGAGTTCAACATACCTCAGCCCAGGAGGGCGAAATCTGCCCA